AATGGTCAGTCCGCCCCTGGTTGTACCCCTTTCCTTCTTGATTGTCCATCTGTCCTCCTGGGTCCTCTTCAGTTGTCCCGCTTTCCCCCTCAGGTGTCCCTCTGTTTTCCTTAGTTGTCCCCTGTCTTTCTAGGATGTCCTCAGTTGTCACTCTGTCCCCCCTGGTGGTCCCCGTCCTCCTCAGTTGTCCCTCTGTCCCCCCTGGTGGTCCCCGTCCTCAGTTGTCCCTCTGTCCCCCCTGGTGGTCCCTGTCCTCCTCAGTTGTCCCTCTGTCCCCCCTGGTGGTCCCTCTGTCCCCCCCAGTTGTCCCTCTGTCCCCCTTGGTGGTCCCTGTCCTCAGTTGTCCCTCTGTCCCCCTTGGTGGGTCCCCGTCCTCCTCAGTTGTCCCTCTGTCCCTCTTGGTAGTCCCCATCCTCAGTTGTCCCTCTGTCCCCCTTGGTGGTCTCCGTCCTCCTCAGTTGTCCCTCTGTCCCCCTTGGTGGTCCCCGTCCTCAGTTGTCCCTCTGTCCCCCCTGGTGGTCCCCCTGTCCTCCTCAGTTGTCCCTCTGCCCCCCCCCCCCCCCCCCTCCCAGTTGTCCCTTTTTTTGCTCATGAACTGTGTAACTGTGGGCGTGGCAGGGGGTGTGTCCTGTACCGACACACTTTGCGATTCAAAGGCGCCCCGCTCTTGTCTGGGGACGTCGGGAGGTTGGTGACCTCCTGCGGATTCCTCGCAGACAGAAACGTTTATTTTCCATCGATATATTCTCCATCGTTGGATAAAAAAAACGTTATTTCATCTCAATTCGCCGACATCCAACCGAACGACGCTTCTCGTCCCGACTAATGACGTCACAATGTAGCTGGCGATACCCATGGATGATAGAGAAATGAATGCGCTACAGTATATGGCGGTGAGATCCCGCGACTGTGAGACCCGCCCATAATGAGTACGAGTCGCGGGATTCGGGGGACATTCATTCTTCTGCTAATGGAAAATCGCAGTTCTAGATAGAGATCTCTATTGTATTCTCCATTCAAGGGGGGGGGGGGACGAGGGGGGGGAGGGGTTGTGTATTTAGATCAATTTATTGTATTTATTGCATTCTTAGTTTTTTTTTTGGGGGGGGGGGGAGGGTATTGGTTATTTTTTACCGTCACTTTAAATGTTTAATTTTCATTTTTTTTTACTTTTGTATCATTTTGTTGTCTTTTGTTTCTTTTGGTTTACAATACATTTACTGACTGTAGAATGACTTGTTTACTTCAGAGATACAATAAAAGTCAATAAAAAGGAAGACACGGGTTAGTTAGCTGGTTAGTTAGCTGGTTGGTTAGCTGGTTGGTTAGCTGGTTGGTTAGTTTTCCCTTGCTGAGTGGTGCGCGCGGTGCAGGTACACATACCCAGGACAGCAGTGCAGTGGATGGGATACGGACAGCTGGCCACACGGTTACTAATCCCCCCCCCCCCCATAGGATAACATGGGATTCTTATGATCGAGAGAACAGAATTTTAAAGGGTCACTCCACCCAAAACTGGTTTTACTGATGGTGACTACCAGGGGCGGACTGACCATTTGGAAACTCGGGCACTGCCCGAGGGCCCGGGGTCAGTAGGGGACCCCATGAGATGCCCCTGGTACCTTTTTCATAGGCTTTTTTTGAGTTTGGGCAAGGACACAGGGGCCCCATGATCCCCTATTGCCCGGGGGCCCCATGAGTTGTCGGTCCGCCCCAGGTGACTACAGTGAACCATGTCTACGTAATGTTTGCTTTACTAGCTACTTGTGGTCCCCCTATAAAAGGAAGTGTCTGAGCAAGGACCTCCGTGGCAGGACCACCAGGGATTATTTTAATCATTGCAGATGTAGAAATGTTGAAAATGAAACATGGATCTCTGCTGCGGCCTCTTTGCAGCCACTTCCTGTCTCTATACACTCCAGTGACGGCTGCATGGCATTTATCAGTGCGATTTCCTGATGGTGACACCAGAGGACCATGTCTGTGTCATGTGTGTTGACATGGCTGCTTGTAGTCTTCATTGGAAGCCCATGTGACAGGGTGACAACGCAGGAGGACAGCTGGGAGACAGAGAAAGAAGGTTGTCACCTTATAAAAGGAAGTGACCTCCATGGCAATCTCCATTGAAAGCCCATGTGATGGGGTGACAACACAGGAGGACAGATGGGAGACAGGGACAGAAGGTTGTCACCCTATAAAAGTTTAGGTGTCAGTATTATATATGGGGTCGGTTTAGGTGTCGGGTATTATATATGGGGTCAGTTTAGGTGTCGGGTATTATATATATGGGTGTCAGTATTTATATGGTGTCAGTTTTTGGTCAGGGATTATATATGGGGTCAGTTTAGGTGTCGGGGATTATATATGAGGACAGTTTAGGTGTCGGGTATTATATTTGGGGCAGTTTAGGCGTCGGGTATTATATATGGGGTCAGTTTAGGTGTCGGGTATTTATATATTATTATATATGAGGACAGTTTAGGTGTCGGGTATGGTATTATATATATGGGTCAGTTTATATATATGGGGTGTTTAGGGTCGGGTATTATATTTAGGTATTATTATATGGGGTCTGGTATTATTATATATGGGGTCAGTTTAGGTGTCGGGTATTATATATGGGTCAGTTTAGGTGTCGGGTATTTATATATGGGGTCAGTTTAGGTGTCGGGTATTATATATATGGGGTCAGTTTAGGTGTCGGGTATTATATATGGGGTCAGTTTAGGTGTCGGGTATTATATATGGGGTCAGTTTAGGTGTCAGGGTGAGGTCGGTTTAGGCGTCTGGTATTATATATGGGGTCAGTTTAGGCGTCAGTATTATATATGGGGTCGGTTTAGGCGTCTGGTATTATATATCAGGGGTCAGTATTTAGGTGTAGGGGGATTTATATATATAGGGGTCAGTTTAGGTGTCGGGTATTATATATGGGGTCAGTTTAGGCGTCTGGTATTATATATGAGGTCGGTTTAGGTCAAGTTTAGGCCGTCTGGTATTATATATGGGGTCTGGTATTATATATGGGGTCAGTTTAGGCGTCTGGTATTATATATGGGGTCAGTTTAGGTGTCGGGTATTATATATGGGGGGGTCAGTATATGGGTAGGTGTCGGGTATTATATATGGGGTCGGTTTAGGCGTCTGGTATTATATATGGGTCGGTTTAGGCGTCTAGGTATTATATATGGGTCAGTTTAGGTGTCTGGTATTATATATGGGGTCAGTTTTCAGTATTATATATGGGGTCAGTTTAGGCGTCTATTATATATATGGGGTCAGTTTAGGTGTCGGGTATTATATATGGGGTCGGTTTAGGTGTCGGGTATTATATATGGGGTCAGTTTAGGTGTCGGGTATTATATATGGGGTCGGTTTAGGCGTCTGGTATTATATATGAGGTCAGTTTAGGTGTCGGGTATTATATATGGGGTCGGTTTAGGTGTCGGGGATTATATATGGGGTCATTATATATATGGGGTTTAGGCATCAGTATTATATATGGGGTCAGTTTAGGCGTCTGGTATTATATATGGGGTCAGTTTAGGTGTCGGGTATTATATATGGGGTCGGTTTAGGTGTCGGGTATTATATATGGGGTCAGTTTAGGTGTCGGGTATTATATATGGGGTCGGTTTAGGCGTCTGGTATTATATATGAGGTCAGTTTAGGTGTCGGGTATTATATATGGGGTCGGTTTAGGTGTCGGGGATTATATATGGGGTCAGTTTAGGTGTCGGGGTATTATATATGGGGTCGGTTTAGGCGTCTGGTATTATATATGGGGTCAGTTTAGGCGTCTGGTATTATATATGGGGTCTGGTATTATATAGGTCGGTTTAGGGGGTCATTATTTATGGGGCGTTTCTCTGGTATTATTTATGGGGTCGGTTTAGGCGTCTGGTATTATATATGAGGTCAGTTTAGGCGTCGTGGTATTATATATGGGGTCGGTTTAGGCGTCTGGTATTATATATGGGTCGGTTTAGGCGTCTGGTATTATATATGGGGTCGGTTTAGGCGTCTGGTATTATATATGGAGGTCGGTTTAGAGGTCGTTTCTGGTATTATATATGGGGTCGGTTTAGGTGTCGGGTATTATTTATATATGGGTCAGTTTAGGTGTCGGGTATTATATATGGGGTCAGTTTAGGTCGTCGGGGATTATATATGGGGTCAGTTTAGGCGTCGGGTATTATATATGGGGTCAGTTTAGGTGTCGGGTATTATATATGGGGTCAGTTTAGGCGTCGGGTATTATATATGGGGTCAGTTTAGGTGTCGGGTTTATTATATATGGGGTCAGTTTTTTAGGTGTCGGGATTATATATAGTTTAGGGTCGGGTATTATATATGGGGTAGTTTATGTGTCGGGTATTATATATGGGGTCAGTTTAGGTGTCGGGTATTATATATGGGTCAGTTTAGGATTATATATGGGGTCAGTTTAGGGTATTATATATGGGGTCAGTTTAGGTGTCGGGTATTATATATATGGGTCGGGTATTTTAGGTGTTTAGGTGGGTATTATATATGGGGTCAGTTTAGGTGTCGGGTATTATATATGGGGTCGGTTTATGTGTCGGGTATTATATATGGGGTCAGTTTAGGTGTCGGGTATTATATATGGGTGTCAGTTTAGGTGTCGGGTATTATATATGGGGTCAGTTTAGGTGTCGGGGGATTATATAGGTGTTTCGGTGTATTATATATGGGGTCAGTTATGGGGTCAGTTAGGATTAGGCGTAGGTGTCGTCGGGTATTATATATCAGGTTTAGGTGTCGGGTATTATATATGGGGTTTAGGTGTCGGGGTATTATATATGGGGTCAGTTTATGGGGTCAGTCGGGTATTATATATGGGGTCAGTTTAGGTGTCGGGGATTATATATGGGGTCAGTTTAGGGTGTCGGGTATTATATATGGGGTCAGTTTAGGTGTCGGGGATTATATATGGAGACGTGACTTTTTTCTGTTTCGTTCCACACAGCTGATCCAGGATGAATTGGGCCGGATTTTACTCCATTCTGAGCGGTGTGAACCGCCATTCGACGGGCATCGGCCGCATATGGCTCTCGGTGGTCTTCATCTTCCGTATCATGGTGCTGGTGGTGGCCGCAGAGAGTGTATGGGGGGACGAGAAGTCCGCCTTCACCTGCAACACCCAACAGCCCGGATGTAACAGCGTCTGCTACGACCATTTCTTCCCCATCTCCCACATTCGTCTGTGGGCCCTGCAGCTCATCATCGTCTCCACGCCGGCCCTCCTCGTGGCCATGCACGTGGCTCACCTACAGCACCAGAGAAGAAACTCTTACGAGTCACTGGCCACGACGACCCGAAGGAGCTGGCGGAGGTGAAAAAGCAGAAGATCCGTATCTCCGGCACCCTGTGGTGGACCTACACGTTGAGCGTGATCTTCAGGATCATCTTCGAGGTGGCCTTCATGTACCTCTTCTACCACATCTACCCCGGGTACGCCATGATACGGCTGGTCAAGTGCGGGGAATACCCTTGCCCCAACACCGTGGACTGCTTCGTGTCTCGTCCCACAGAGAAGACCATCTTTACTATCTTCATGCTGGCCACCTCTGGGATCTGCATCATCCTGAACGTGTCTGAGCTCTTCTTCCTCATCGGGAAGGCTTGCACCCGTAGGCGGCTCCGACACGAAGACTCGTACCGAGGCCACGAGAGCCGGCAGAACGAGATGAACACGCTGCTCACCGTAGACAGTATCAAAAAGGCCTCAGCAGGCCAAGAGAAAGGAGAGCATTGTGCCACATCCTAGAGACCTTCCCCCCCCTATGACCACCGATACGTGGGACTGTGGCCATTCCAGGAGATGGACTGGAGTTATGGGCTTCATGAGGGCCCTCAATAGGGACAAGAACATTTACGGCAATATTTGCACATGAGGCGGCGACACGTCCTACTTGTCAGGATGACAATGGCGAGCGGCGAGGGTTTCCTCGCGCTCCGGCGCCCCTTTATGTCGCGCTCACCCGTTGCCGGCGGTCCACCATTCACAGGTGCTTCATGCAGTATTTTTTGGGTAACACTGGAGGGGGAGGGGCTCCATTTTTTTCTGCAGGGATTTGGGTGGATTTTTACTGTTATAATGTTTTAATATTGATGTGATTTGAAATTTAAAAATTAAATAATTAAAACCGCCTGTCCGGATTTTGGGTGCATTTTCTCAAAAAAACATCTCGTAAAGCGGAATTCCGGGTGGATACGAACGCAACAACCCAGGTATGAGGTCACTGAAAATCCCTCAACGTGGCACGGATGAGACCTGGTGTCAGCCCCCTCAATCCCCTGTACAGCAGAGCTCAGACTGGGAAGGGGGAGGACTGGGAGCCAATCAGTGTGTGTGTTGACAATGGACGCTGACAGGAGGAGAGAGCAGAGCGAGCAGAGGGATGGCCTGCTGCTCCTTCACTGGGGTGGGGTGGGGAGAGGACACCACTGTATTTCTTAGCTGTGTCATCCACCTGGCAGAGCTGTGTAAAGCGCAGGACTGGATGGACAGAAATACAAAGCAGGTAAAACATCCGTTATATATGAAGTTTATATGAATGTTTAGCTGTTTGGTCAGCTTTAGGCCTTTGTGTGTTCAGTTACTAAACCTGCCCCCCCCCCATACCCTGACCATACATATATATCCTGTATACCTTCTATCTGAGGGTCCTGCGGCCCCCCTGTCATGTTACAGGTTCTTCCTTTGTTCCCGCACTAATCGCCCACATAATGACATAGCTGCTGTGATGACACTCCCCCAGGGGGGGGGGACAAAGCGTTGTCACCGTATGACAGGAAGTGCCTGAAACAGGACCTCCATGGCGGGATCACTGAGGTGACAACATATGAGGACCATAGGGAGACAGGGACAGAGCGTTGTCACCCTATAACAGGAAGTGCCTGAACCAGGACTTCCATGGCGGGATCACTGAGGTGACAACATATGAGGACCATCGGGAGACAGGGACAGAGCGTTGTCACCCTATAACAGGAAGTGCTTGAACCAGGACTTCCATGGCGGGATCACTGAGGTGACAACATATGAGGACCATCGGGAGACAGGGACAGAGCGTTGTCACCCTATAACAGGAAGTGCTTGAACCAGGACTTCCATGGCGGGATCAGTGAGGTGACAACATATGAGGACCATCGGGAGACAGGGACAGAGCGTTGTCACCCTATAACAGGAAGTGCCTGAACCAGGACCTCCTCCATGGTGGGATCACCGGGGATTGTATAAAGTAAGATGAAGATTTAAAGGGATTAAACATGAAAATAATGACTTTTATTGATAACATATGTATTGAAAAGGTTTTGGAGGTTGGGTCTCCATTCTGTATCTCTATGTGGGAGGTTGGGTCTCCATTCTGTATCTCTATGTGGGAGGTTGGGTCTCCATTCTGTATCTCTATTTGCGAGGTGGGGTCTCCCTTCTGTATCTCTATGTTGGAGGTTGGGTCCCCATTCTGTATCTCTATGTTGGAGGTTGGGTCTCCATTCTGTATCTCTATCTGGGAGGTTGGGTCTCCCTTCTGTATCTGTGTGGGAGGTTTGGTCTCCATTCTGTATCTCTATGTGGGAGGTTGGGTCTCCATTCTGTATCTCTACGTGGGAGGTTGGGTCTCCTTCTGTATCTCTGTGTCGAAGGTTTGGTCTCCATTCTGTATCTATGTGGGAGGTTGGGTCTCCATTCTGTATCTCTACGTGGGAGGTTGGGTCTCCATTCTGTATCTCTATGTGGTAGGTTGGGTCTCCCTTCTGTATCTATGTGGGAGGTTGGGTCTCCATTTTGTATCTCTATGTGGGAGGTTGGGTCTCCATTCTGTATCCCTATGTGGGAGGTTGGGTCTCCCATCTGTATCTATGTGGGAGGTTGGGTCTCCATTCTGTGTCTCTATGTAGGAGGTTGGGTCTCCATTCTGTATCTCTATGTTGGAGGTTGGGTCTCCATTCTGTATCCCTATGTGGGAGGTTGGGTCTCCATTCTGTATCCCTATGTGGGAGGTTGGGTCTCCATTCTGTATCTATGTGGGAGGTTGGGTCTCCATTTCTGTATCCCTATGTGGGAGGGTTTGGTCTCCTTTCTGTATCTCTATGTGGGAGGTTGGGTCTCCATTCTGTATCCCTATGTGGGAGGTTGGGTCTCCCTTCTGTATCTATGTGGGAGGTTGGGTGTATCCTATGTGGGAGGTTGGGTCTATCTTCGGTGTCTCTATGTGGGAGGTTGGGTCCCCATTTTGTATCTCTATGTGGGAGGTTGGGTCTCCATTCTGTATCTCTATATGGGAGGTTGGGTCTCCCTTCTGTATCCCTATGTGGGAGGTTGGGTCTCCATTCTCTATCCCTATGTGGGAGGTTGGGTCTCCATTCTGTATCCCTATGTGGGAGGTTGGGTCTCCATTCTGTATCCCTATGTGGGAGGTTGGGTCTCCATTCTGTATCTCTATGTGGGAGGTTGGGTCTCCATTCTGTATCTCTATGTGGGAGGTTGGGTCTCCATTGGAGGTTGTATCTCTATGTTGGAGGTTGGGTCTCCATTCTGTATCTCTATGTGGGAGGTTGGGTCTCCATTCTGTATCTCTATGTTGGAGGTTGGGTCTCCATTTTGTATCTCTATGTGGGAGGTTGGGTCTCCATTCTGTATCTCTATGTGGGAGGTTTGGGTCTCCATTCTGTATCTCTATGTGGGAGGTTAGGTCTCCCTTCTGTATCCCTATGTGGGAGGTTGGGTCTCCATTCTGTATCTCTATGTGTGTGGGAGGTTGGGTCTCCCTTCTGTATCTCTATGTGGGAGGTTGGGTCTCCATTCTGTATCTTTCTATGTGGGTTTGGTTGGGTTCTCCATTCTGTATCTCTATGTGGAAGGTTGGGTCTCCATTCTGTATCTCTATGTGGGAGGTTGGGGGGTCTCCATTCTGTATCTCTATGTTGGAGGTTGGGGTCTTCCTTCTGTATCTCTATGTGGGGAGGTTGGGTCTCCATTCTGTATCTCTATCTGGGAGGTTGGGTCTCCATTCTGTATCTTTATGTTTGGAGGTTGGGTCTCCATTCTGTATCTCTATGTTGGAGGTTGGGTCTCCATTCTGTATCTCTATGTTGGAGGTTGGGTCTCCATTCTGTAATCTCTATGTTTGGAGGTTGGGTTCTCCATTCTGTTATCCCTATGTGGGAGGTTAGGTCTCCATTGTTGGAGGTCTCTTTTTATCCCTATGTGGGAGGTTGGGTCTCCATTCTGTATCTCTATTGGGAGGTTGGGTCTCCATACTGTATCCCTATGTGGGAGGTTGGGTCTCCATTCTGTATCCCTATGTGGGAGGTTTGGGTCTCCCTTCTGTATCTATGTGGGAGGTTGGGTGTCCCTATGTGGGAGGTTGGGTCTATCTTCGGTATCTCTATGTGGGAGGTTGGGTCTCTATGTGGGAGGTTGGGTCTCCCTATGTGGGAGGTTGGGTATCCCTTCTGTATCCCTGTGTGGGAGGTTGGGTCTCCCTTCTCTATCCCTGTGTGGGAGGTGGGGTGTTCCTATGTCTTGTTCTCTATGTGGGAGGGTGGGGTGTTTCCTATGTGGGAGGTTGGGTGTCCCTGTGTGGGAGGTGGGGTGTCCCTATGTGGGAGGTGGGTGTCTCTATGTGGGAGGTGGGGTGTCCCTGTGTGGGAGGTGGGGGGTCTCTATGTGGGAGGGGGGGGTGTCCCTGTGTGGGAGGTTGGGTCTCCATTCTGTTCCATATGTGGCAGGTTGGGTCTCCCTGGTGGGAGGTTGGGTATCTGTGTGGGAGGTTGGGTCTCTATGTTGGAGGTTGGGCCTCTATGTGGGAGGTTGGGTCTCTATGTGGGAGGTTGGGCCTGTATGTTGGGAGGTTGGGGCCTCTATGTGGGAGATTGGGCCTCTATGTGGAGGTTGGGTCTTTTGGTCTCTCTGTGGGGGAGGTTGGGCCTCTGTGGGGGAGGTTGGGCCTCTATGTGGGAGGTTGGGGTCTGTATATGTGGGAGGCTGGGTCTCCATATGTGGAGGTTGGGTCTCTATGTGGGAGGTTGGGTCTCCCTTTTGTATCTATGTTGGAGGTTGGGTCTCCATTTGGGTCTCTATGTGGGAGGTTGGGCCTCTATGTGGGAGGTTGGGCTTCTATGTGGGAGGCTGGGTCTCTGTGTGGGAAGTTTGGTCTCTGTGTGGGAGGTTGGGGCCTCTGTGTGGGAGGTTGGGTCTCTATTTGGAGGATGGGCCTCTATGTGGGAGGTTGGGTCTCTATGTTGGAGGTTGGATCTCTGTGGGGGAGGTTGGGTCTCTATGTGGGAGGTTGGGTCTCTATGTTGGGAGGTTGGTCTCTATGTGGGGAGGTTGGGTCTCTATGTGGGAGGTTGGGTCTCTATGTGGGAGGTTGGGTCTCCATTCTGTATCTCTATGTGGGGAGGTTGGGTCTCCCTTCTGTATCTATGTGGGAGGATTGGGTCTCCATTTGTATCTCTATTGGGAGGTGGGAGGTTGGGTCTCCATTCTGTATCTCTATGTGGGAGGTTGGGTCTCCATTCTGTATCTATGTGGGAGGTTGGGTCTCCATTCTGTATCTCTATGTGGGAGGTTGGGTCTCCCTTCTGTATCTATGTGGGAGGTTGGGTCTCCATTCTGTGTCTCTATGTAGGAGGTTGGGTCTCCATTTCTGTGTCTCTATGTGGGAGGTTGGGTCTCCATTCTGTATCTCTATGTGGGAGGTTGGGTCTCCATTCTTATGTATCTATGTGGGAGGTTGGGTCTCCATTCTGTGTCTCTAT